CCAGACCCCCCCGCCCTCCAGACAAGGGCCAGGGCCCCCGCAGCGAGGAGCACGGTGCCGGTGCCTTGCCTCCTGCGACTGACCGCGGCGTGGCCGGGCAAGCGACCCCCAACCCCGGCCGCCATCCCGTTACCTGGGCAGCCGCCGCGACGCAGTTTGCAGCCGCCGTAAAGCAGGCACGCGCCTGCGCCATCGCGTCAGTAGGGCGAAGCCAGTGACATCGTCCGCGCATGCGCCCGGATGCGAGGCCGGCAGCCCCCTAGCGGCCCGGGCGTGTTAGGGCAGGGCAGCGGGAGCGTGCCCCAAACGCCAGTCTCACAGAGGGAGCGAGTCTTGCGCCTGCTCCGCACGCGCAGCCAGGGAGGCCAGGCTCGCGCTGCATGCACCAGGGCTTCCTTCCCCGCCCCCTCCGCGCCTGCTTATAGACTGGGACAAGCTGGGCAGAGGCTGTGAGGGTCTAGCCCTCTCCCTGGACAACATGGCTTGGGAAGGAGAAAGATGCACGGGCATCATTAGTAACCTAGCAGCGCCTTGAGAGGAAAGCAGGAAGCCAAAAGTGGGGAGGATACTTACTGAGCAAGCCTTTCTCAAGTACTTGGAAGGTGCATTGGCACAGATAGAAATTGACAGCCTCTTGGCCCCTGCGGCTCCGCTAGCTCAGAGCAGCAGCACTGGATCATGAGACAGATCCATGAATATTTCAGCGTATAACTGGCTCCACACTAGTCACACACCTGGCTCAGCAGAATCAAATCAGGCAGTGAAGAGTGCAGGGCTACATCGACACTGGCACGATTTTCCGTTACGCTTTTCCAAAAATGCTTGTCAAGACTGGTAGGACGCTTTTCTGTAAAAGCACTTTTTGCAGAAAAGTGTCCGTGGCCAATCTAGACAGGGTTTTCCGCAAAAAAGCCCCGATCGCCATTTTCACTATCAGGGCTTTTTTTGCAGAAAACAAATCTCCGCTGTCTACACTGGCCCTTTTGCGCAAAAGTTTTACGGAAAAAGACTTTTGCCCGAACAGGAGCACTGAATCTTACATGAGATCATCAGTACTTGTGGAAATTCAAGCTGCCAGTGTAGACAGCTGGCAAGTTTTTCCGCAAAAGCAGACGATTTTGCAGAAAAACTTGCCAGTCTAGACACAGCCCAGGTGTTTTACTAACATCTGTTCATCGCCATTTACAAAGCTCCATCTTGCCACCACTGAAATTTAGCTCTAGTTTGAATTAAAAAAGCCTCTGTTTACCTTAGGAAAATATTGAAGTGATGTTAAATAGAAAAAAGGTAAACACTAAGAATCAGAGGCAACTACAGAGTAATCACTTCTTGTGTTTATGTAGACCATGTATTTTATAAAGTTACTAAATGTTTAATTTTGATTCTCATCTAACGCCAGTATAAAATACAAACTAATATCTTTAAATGGGCAGGAGCATCTGTCTACCTGAAGTTTATACTTCAGCCAAAATAAGATCCTATCTTTCTCTGGCTTGAAAAAAATCAAAAGGAGAAGCTTTGACAAGTATATTATGCAGCTAATGTTTCAAAATTAATTTATTAATACAAAATGTTTGTAAGACATACACAGCTTCAGTTAAAGACAGCAAATAAAATACTCTGTGGGCTCCAAGGCACCCCTGTAGTTTTGCCATGACAGGTCTGTTATTTTGGGATTCTTTATAAAGGAATAAGGAACAAAGCACTGATTACAGAATACCTGAGGTATTGTCAAAGTGATGTACATGGAAATCAATGTGCCATCTGTAAAGTAAAAACCGACGTGACAATTCAAGATCATTAAGTACACTCAACACATTATGCCACAGCAGGAGCAGTGATTATGGCTCCACTTACAAAAGGCACATGCAGCAATAGAGGTTAAACAATGGTGAGGAAAGTGAAAAGCTTTTGCTTTACAGTCAGATATGCATAAAGCCCATTTCACAGGACCTCGGAAAGTAAAACCCAGATTTCCCCTTCCAAAAAGTCATTAAAATGTTTAGATGGAAGATCACACTTGATGAGTTAATCTACTTAGATGATTAAAATCCATAATCTATGCTCTCAAGACTACAGTTTACATTACTTTTTCTTGAACATGGATATTTTCCCCTATAACAACCAGTTAGTTTCCCCATCTTGTGCATGAAGGTGTGAGTGAGCAGTATTGGGATGACACAGGAAACTGATGTGTATGCCTCTGCAACCTTGTTACACAGGGCAAATAGTTATTTTCCTATTTAAGATTTTAGAAGGGCTGTGGAAGTCTAAACTGAAAATTCAGTCACCACCTTTGATACCCCATACCTGAAGACAAACAAGTTATGAATGCATGTAATGCTATCCATGTCCAAAATTAATCTCTTAACTTGAATAGATTCACATATGTTTGCATAAAAAGGCAAGGAAGTATTGTAGTTTGCTACTACATTAAAAGAACGTATTCCTTGGTAACAAAACAGATATAATTTATGAAGGCTAATAGTAATCTCATAACTAAACTTTTGTAAGTATACAGAAACATTTAAAAGATCACATTTTTACAAGAGAACTCCATTTTGCTACCAGCCTCTCCATCCCCACTCCCCTATACTTGAATCCTATAATGGGCAAGCCAACAAATTACACACCCTTGGAAACACTGTGCTAGATGCCATCATTCAAGAGGATTGCGTGTTTGCCCAATCAAATCAAATGGTAGAGTAGCCTCCAATGAAACCTACTTGCCATAAACTCTTACTACATCAACACATTCTGAAGCTGCATCTAGTATTTTACCTTTGCTTACACTGTACCTAAAAATAGCACCCAAGGTGTTATGCAATACCCTTAGTATGCCTGTACTTTCCACACATGTAAAAAGCAGATCTGCAAGATGCTAGCACAAATAAATCATAATCTAAGAAAACGTATCTAAAGTGCTTAAGGCAATTCCTCATCTCCATATTCTATTTACTAAAAAAAGAGATTTAGCAGCAAAAATCCAACACTTGTGCATTAACTACTGGAGAGTAACTTAAAACTGTGAGGGCAAAATAGCCCATAATTATTTAGAACCGCTGCATCTTTGATATCAGTCAAAACAAACTGTGCAGCGTAAGTCACAGCACTAAGTACTTCAGCTAATTTCTAACTAAACTACTATAATAGTTTTAGAAAAAACTCAATTCCATTGTTTACATCTTGTGCATAATCAAGTGTATCTTGCAAGTTTCCTTACATTGACTTTAACATATGCAAATGGTATCTCCATTCAATTTTGGGGCCTGACTCAGTGGTTACTGAGTTTTTCCCTAAGCATGTTAACTTGTAGTATATTTACTTTTACACAAAGTAAAGGAAACATGGTAGGACCTGTAGCTAGCTAGCCCAGATTGAAAGTTAGAGATGGATAGGTAGGAACAGAAACTAACCTCTGCTACCATCAACTTAAGTCTCAAAATAGAAACAAAGTTTACACCTTGCTCTAAATCACAATTTTGTGCCCCATCCTACATGCTTCTCAACTCCCTCAAGTCACTGGACATTATGAAGGCTCACATTGCTGCATTAAGGACCTGATTTTAAAAAAAAAAATCAAGATAAGTAGATGACGGCTGGCTGAACTGTCCTAAAGTCCTATGATAAGCCAATTCAGATACTGAGCTCATTAAGTACAAAAATCATTCAATCACTTAAGCTTTTTCAAATTTTCAAAATTTAAATTGGACAAATACAGCAAAGGAAAAACACATTGAAAGCAGGTTTCTTCCTGAAGATTTATAACACTGCATTATAAAAAGCATGAAAAATGTTAAATTTATACATACAGAACTGAATACCAAAGAAAAGGGAATCAGTTTATTTTCCGTTGCTTAAAAAGGAGTAGAAAATGCCATGCAACATCACTGGAGATCAAGGGCCAAACTCAATTTTGTATAAAACAGATTGAATATATCCAATTTTGCCTGCAATCTCCAAAGTTATTGCATCAGATTTCTTCCCTCGACTTTCCTTCAAGAGGAAGGCCTTAAGTGCTCCTAACCTTAGATGGTATGTCTGTTTCCAGGAACTGAAGGTGCAGAGTGAAAACCACCCTTCCTGATGTCCCTCAGTTCAATTCCCAAGAAGGGAGCTATTTCACCACAGCCATTAGCATTATGCTTGTAGAGAAGTCTTAGTGTGATGGTGCACTATACGAGACCTCCATTTATAGAATTAAAATCTGAGACAATATTGTCCATCTGTAGGTCATTGTGGGACCCATTACTAGACTACTAAGAGAAACACTGATTAAAAGTGGCTAAAATAGATTTAACTCTAGACAGACTCTTCTACTAAAATGTTCTCTCCATTAACATGAATTTTGGTACTGTACACTACTAGGTGTGCTACTAAGGACTGGGATCACTGGACATCCTCTTCAAGATCTCCAATTAATAACTCCAATTAATAGCATTTTGCTTCAATTAATAACTGGTTGCCTCAATAGGAGAAGTAACATGTGGAGAGCAGACATCCATATGAACGTTGTGCGAGTGACCTGAATCTTTTATACAGAAAAATCCCCTATACTGAATAGTGAATCTGTTAGTTTTTTTGTTTTTTTGAGTGCAACATAAGTGAATCCTGGGGGAAGTCTGCAATTTTACAATGACTCCATATGCAACAATTGCAGAATTCCCCCAGGACTAGTACAAGTCTCTCCCAAAGCACATGAACCATAAACAATTTTTATAAAAAGCAATATAGACTAGCCTTCTTTACAGAGGAGTACAAAATAACCTAAGAGTTGCAACCATTAAGATGGGAGGAGTGTTGGTGCAGAGGTCTAGTAACACCTAATTCTCTATCCTGTTTCAGGGGAGAACTACACAGCTGGAAAAAAATACCCCTTCCATGAGAATGAATGTGTAAGAGAACTGTTTAGTCAGCACAACCAGAATTATTTCCTTCTGGACACCACATGCAGTAAGGAAAGAGCTGCTTGGGGAGCCTTTCGGGGAGGGTGGGGGGAGATGATGCATTTAAAACCAAAAGGTAAATGCTTGAAGGGGTTCAGAACTAAAAAAAATCCATGGCTTTCTAAAGATATACAAAGTGGTCCTTGTCCATTTAAGCCATGCTCTTATATGTTGAAGCTCTTAGTAGCTTTCCAGTTTTGCAGTCACATTCTGTTTAGACAATGTTTTGCTAGTGAGTTGTTCTTCCTTTTTGCTCTCTCTCTATGTTAGAGCAGATACAGGTTGGATTGAGCAGTAAGCAAAGTGCTGCCCAGTCTAATTTAAGAGCTATTCATATGCTTTTTTTTTTTTTTTTTTTTTTTTTTTTTTTTTTTTTAAAAGGAGCAACAGTGCATATAGGTTAAGGTAGGACTTACTGATCTGCTACATTAACGTGCAAGAATACTATGTATTTTAGTGAAAGGAGTGTTACAACATTTTAAAGAAGACTGTCAAACGCAACAGAGTAAGTTTTGGGGCACCTAAGCTTTAGTTTAGCTGCATTTTTTAAGTCTTAGAACCCAAGATCCTGCCACTGTCATCCTTTGCATGTTTGCATACTTCAAACACATTAGAAAGTATGTTAAAGGTATTCTATAAATCAGGTTGAAACAGGATAAAACATTATTTAAACAGCATATTAAAAAAGACAAATATAGAAAGTGTGGAAGTACTTTAAAGCCTACCCGTACTCTAAGCTGGATGCTTAAAAAGTAATCAAATATAGCTGAAAGTTTGAGGGTAGTATTAAGGGAAAGTGTGCTTTTATGCACGTCTCCCCAAAAATCTAAACCGAGGGCTCACACAGTAAAGATCAGGAATGCTCTGAAAACCACTGGTGTAAAGCTGATGTGAATTGTTCATTCTCACTAAATTATGACAGAGGATTACCGAGCTTGTGTTCTAACTATGAATAGCCTACATCTTCAGCATAGTGCCCATTTAGATAACTAGACACCCTGACAATACAATACAATATTTATTCTAATACCGGAAGGTAACCAACCTGTGTCAAAAACATCACACAAGCAACTCTAGGAGAACATCTCAAGTCTCAAACTTGTATCTTGACATATGCATATATGGACACTTGAGGGACTGATTTCTTCAGTGTCAACGTTTCAAAGCTTCCATTTAGGACCTCAAAATTAATTCCTTTTCAGGGTGGAAGAACAAGGAGTGAAAAGCAAGTAGTAGTTAGTGCTTTTCAAACTAAGATCATACCTGCTATGTGCAATTATACTGAAATGATCAAGTATCTAATACTATCAAATTCAGTCTAATATAAAGCACATAGCTATAGTTCCTGACTTCCCCATCTGAATAGCAAAAAAGTCAGCCTAGCTTTTTTTCTGGCTCCATGGATTCATAGTAAGTTTCTGCTAGTGCTTCAGCCCAGAAACTATGCACTAGTGGTGCCCAGGCCTTAAAGCAGCAGCGGGTAGCCAAGCCAGTTAATCCAACGCCCACAAGTTCCTGTGAATAGCAGCTGCACAGAAAAACTCTCAAACAGTAGTAAAGTATCTAAATAGACACATTATTGGGTAACATTGGTTAGGCTGCTAGCTGATCCACTCAATCCATTTTCACTCTTCTGGAGCATTTTCACAGCACTCGGCACCTGCAGTCCTGTACTCAGTGCAAGTCCACCACACCAGACCTAGAAGATAAACCATTACACAAAGCAATAATGAGTCAGTGTTTTAAAACCAGTCAACTCCATTTCTTCTCCAACCACATTTCCAAATGGGGACTGAAGACAAACTTGACATCTTGAAACTATGCTTGTCCCTTTCCAGAGATGCTGACTTCCTACTCTGGAGTCAACATTTCTAGACAGGAAGAGATCATTTACAGTCACTCATCAACTAAGGAAACAGCTATAAACTTGCTGTATGTTTGCTAGTTTGAAAAACAGCAAGTCAGGGGGTTCAATAGTTAACTTTACATTTTCTACTAACATCTCTTACATTAGTAATATAAAATGCCACACTGCTCCAAAGGAGTAGCTTTACAGTTTTGAGAGGCGTTGACTAGTACAGTGATGTCTTGAAGATTGGCCAAGGGGGAGAGGCACATTAAAGCAAACATCAAAAGTGAGTTGTCCCCCAAGGATTTAAGGAAAAAGGACCCAGTATTTGGGATAAAACACACTGTTGTTTTATCCAAGGTATATCGTGTCAAACCAACCTGATCTCAAAAGACACTGATTTTTCATAGAAAGGAAATGCAGTAGATTTACTCTACCTGGATTTCAGGAAGGCATTTCACAGTGCCATGGGTGAAGATGGGGATTAATACGAGAATGAAAAGTGGATCTGCAACTGATTAAGGGTCATGACACAAGGTCATTACAGAAAGGTCAACTATCAGCAGGTTACTAGCAGAAGTCCTCAGGGCACTGTTTTAGGATAAATTTTAACATGCTCATTAATGATCTCGGCACAGAAAATGTGTACACTAATAAAAGATTGCTCATGCAGTCTCAATTCTGCCCTTTTGTACATCCATCCAGTATACTGAATAATGCAGCGGTCATGAAGAAAAAATAGGATTCCTGTGCAATCTTACATCTGATATTTCTTACCCAGAGTATTTGATGGCAAACAAAATCATTTGTTAATGTCCATCCTTTTTTTAAAAAAAAGGGTTAAATTTCATTATGTGCAATTACACCCTCAACACATTCTCAGAAGGGTTTGAACCTTCAGCACTACATCACAGATAGCAATCTTGCCCTGTAGTTCAAGAGGCAGCATTCCCAGAGAAGGAGATGGACCAGAGTCCAGGTGCTTGGTGGGTCAAGTACAGTTGCATCCCTTCATATAATGGGAATTGGACCTCTTGCCCTATGTGGTTTCCCGAGACAGGGATGCTCAGCCTGTTTCCTCTCTCACCACAACACCACCCAACAAGACGAGTTAAGCTAGACACATAGCATGGAAGGGAAGTGACAATTTTTAATCTTTTTTGAGATAGAAACTTCAGGCTTCCCCTGCTGCATAATGAAGGGTTCCTATAAACAGAAAGGAAGAAAGCGTCTCAAAGAAAATGCTCACAAGAATCCTCTCCCCCAAAGCGTTAGGCAAATCAAACAGAGGTCAAAATGCATCAATGCTAAAAGCAGAAATGAAGTTTACTGGGTACTGACCATGAAACCTGGTAATAGCGGTTGGGCAAATTTTGTTTTGAAGGTGTGTAACAACTGCTTTGAACTTGCATTATAAAAGGAGAGCTGACCTGAAAGAGAAAAGCAGGTTTTAAAAGAATTCTGTGTATACGAAACTGGATAGTAACAAGAGGATATACATCCACAACAGATCTGAACCAAGGAATAAAGCCCAAAAAGGAGAAAAATCAAGTGACAGGTACCACTCAGGCAGTCAGCATACTGCAAAATGTCAGAAAGACATCAGTTACCTGGAAACTGGAGCAGTAAGCTATGGGTTTTACAAAGGGATGTGAAAAGTCAGTTTAAAAGGTAGCCACATAACTGCTAAAAAGTCTTAACAGTTACACACTGTGGGCTCTGCAGCATTAAAGCTTATTTAAGCTTTATACTGCAAAGCCCACAACAAAGCCACCTCCCCAGGAGCCGGGCAGGCCGTGGCTGGTGGCTCTGGTCTTGGGAAGGTGGCTTCGCTGCAGGCTCTGCAGCTGACTTCCTAGGAATAGGTCAGCAGCTCCTGCTGGTCCCACTCCCACCGCTGCCGGGCAGAGTTTAACGATAAGCTCATGCTTATCTATTAATGTTATCAATTAACTGAGCTTATCAATTCAACAGTTAATCGATTAAACTCTGGCTTCCCTAGTTTTACATTAGTTATTCCTAAGTTCTTATCTACTATTGTCAGGAATTGCTTTGAGTTGGTGGTAGTTAATCAAAAAGTCATCTCTTACTAAGAGAAAGAAATTCCAATTACTGCCAGATAGGCCACTTCCTTATTTCAACACACGTACACCCCTCTATGTTTACAGTGCTGTGTCTTAGCCTGGTTACCTTATTACATAGGAAAAGGTCATCACCACCTATCAGTGGCCCAAAAGTAGTACAGACCTAAGACCAGCAGCTCTGCATGGCAAAGGTAAAGACTGAGAAGGCAATGCAAGTCAGTTCACAAAACTTGCAATGAAAGAAGCTCAAGGCAGTAGGTTCAGGTAACCTGAGCTTAATTTTATTCTAGTGGCAGTTTCCATAGTATGTGTGATCTAGACCATATTTAAAAGGCTTATTTTATTGTTCTTTCCATTTGAGAACAGTTAATACTACCTTTTGGTTAAGCCAAGTTCATTTACACAGCCACGTTAATAACAGTGCATGTTCACACTACAAGCCTTTATTTCAAAATATTGAGCTGGAGCACTTCTTACTCTGACTCATGGTATCAAGTATCAGAGGGGTAGCCGTGTTAGTCTGAATCTGCAAAAGCGGCAAGGAGGCCTGTGGCACCTTATAGACTAACTGAAGTGTTGGAGCATAAGCTTTCGTGGGCAAAGACCCACTTTGTCAGATGCATGCAAAGTGGGTCTTTGCCCACGAAAGCTTATGCTCCAACACTTCAGTTAGTCTATAAGGTGCCACAGGCCTCCTTGCCGCTTTTGCAGATTCAGACTAACACGGCTACCCCTCTGATACTTGATACCATGAGT